ATCTGTAACAGCATACTTCCAGACTTTTGTAGGGAATTTCAACTTTAGAAAGCCTGACAGCTTTTTCTTATTATTTTTTGTTTTGTCTTATGGCCTAAACAATCACAGTAAAAATTCCTTTCACAGGATTCAGAAATGGTTAAATATTCCACAATTCAGTTCACAAAAGCAAAGATATTGTTGAGATTTGATTTAATTAAGGACAGGACATATACATAAGCACACACTGTGGCTGTATTACATAATGCAAGAGCACACTCTTGTTATATAAAGCAGGAGCACCCATCCTGATTTTAGCAGGGTGAGGCAAGGTTCAGTAGCTGTGCTGATACTTTGTCATGGATAAACTGGAACTAAATGAAAAAGTTGTTGCTGATACATTTGTGGATTACACAAAAGCTGGCAGAGTGGTAAATGTAAAGACAAGACAGACAGAAAGAGGGATTTTGACCTATTCAAAAAGTGGACCGATTCAGATTAAATCTATTTTAACACAGACACATGAAAAGCTAAACAACCAGGAACAAGTTGGGCCATACGGGAAAAATGGAGGATCACATTCTGTAAAACAGTAACTCCAGAAAGGATTTAGGGGATCTTTGAGAAAGCATAGCTCAAAGGGAACCTTGGGTGTGATAGCGGAGCAAAAGAGTGAATAGGCTAGACTGATCTTATCTCCACCCACAGCACAGGTGAGATCGCTATCAGACAGAAGGGAAGGCGAAACCACCACAGGCTGCAGAGAAGACCAGAATGAGCACTGGAGAAAAGAGGAAAAACGCTTTAGAGACAGGAAAATCCTTTCAGCTTATCAAAAAGAAGATAGAGTGGTGACTTAATAGCTCCCTCAGGAGAAAATCCCACAGACTAAAGGGTTCTTTAGTTAAGAAGGAAAAAGCATAACAAGCAGCTGTGTACTGAGCGCAAGTCAGATAAATTAAAAGAAATAAGGCACACAAAGTTTAATAGTGGAGATGATTAACTACGGAACAAACCAACAAAGGAAGCAATGGATACACTATCTCTATTAATGTCTTCAACTCAAGAATAAATGTCTTTTTGGATATGCTTTATCTAAACACAAGTTATTGAATTCAATAGAGAGGCTGCTGGGTGAAATTCAAAGGCTTGTGAAACACAGGAAGTCAGAGTAGATGATCTAATGGGAATATTTGCAAAGACTAATCTTAGCCTCAGGATGCTACTCTCCTTGGGTTACCTCTTCAGTCAATAGAGTTTCCTTTAGAGAGCAATTCAGAGATGAAGAATAACTTTAGTGGTCCAATTTGCCCCTCTCCACTGAAAAAGCTTGCCTCTCCATTGACTGCAGAGAAAAACAGAGGTTTAAGGATAGTTGAAATCATCTGGGTTTTTCACTAAACCACCACCACACTAAAGTATAAAATGACAATTTTACTAAAGATTTTGGGAAGGCCTTAGTGGGTGAACTGTGGGGAGGATGGGGATGGGGACAGCTCTCTTTTCACTAATTAACCCTTGATAACCTCATCTGATTATGCAGGGAGCTACATCTTCTCCCTGAGAGATTGTCATCTGTGGTGGGAGGCTGAAGATTAACATGTCACTTCTTTACCACCCCCTTAAATATCCTACTTTAGGAAACCCCTATCCTCCCTCTAATGTGGTCTCACTTTGGAGACCACAGGCAAGAAACAGAACCAGAAACACCTGACAGACGTAGATGAGCTCCTGGCCAGCAGGCAGGTGGGAGAATTCATCCTGCCCCTTCTATTTTTGCTATTGGAAAATATTCTTACCTAATCTACCACATCTAATAAATGTGGCTATTCAGTTGGTATTTGATTAAAACTGTGGTGCTCCTATGGTATTGGTACATCCTCGTCAGGGAGGCATCTCTTCCTACACACAGTTAGTCTACGTGCTACCCTTATCTTGATTGTGCCTTCTTGTATTAAATGATGTAGATTGATGATTAACTGCCAGAAAGTACATAAACACCAAAAGGGAAAAGCTAAAATGGCTATGAACCACAGAAGGTTGCAGAACTTCCTTTGGTGCACCAAGACAGTTGTGTACATTTTACTACTCTGAATGAAAAGAAAAAGATGACAATACTGATTAGCTGTGCTGAAAACTCCCTCAACTGTGGCTATTTTACTACTGGTATATCCCATGTGAGTAAAAGTTAAATGCATAAAATACATGCTAAGTGCCTAAATCTCAGCTCTCTTTTGTGAACCAAGGTCATGCAATCAATAGCATACCTTTTATTCTTCCTTATAGTTTTAAAATGTTTTAAAAAAATAAATCTAAAGGCTAAATTGCAACAAATCTTCATTAAACTAGAAATTGATAATAAAATTCTATTTATTAGAACCCACGCAAAACTAACAGAGGTGTGTTTTACAAAGCTGCAGCAGTGGTTGCAAATGTTTGTCTGCCATCTAGTGGAATATGCAACCCTTTCCAGTAATATTTATCCTGCTCTAACTACGGGAAGTTTTTTAAAGAAATAATTACAGAAGTAAACGTGAAAGGCATGAAGGATAATGGCACCATGCTCATAAAATTCTTAAACACAAACTTTAACTGCTGCAAAGATGAAATAGGCAGACCTTTGTACATACAAAGGTCTGTAACACAAATAAGGTTGTATCAGCTGAGGCAGAGAAAGGCTGGGGTAGAGAAAGACCAGTATACTGAAAACAGGGCAAAGCTCTTGTTCTGCCTGACATATTTTCCTAGAGAGTTTTTTGAAAAGCCTACACCTCTGTGTCACCAAATGTGACTTGTATACCTGGTATCTGACATGGGACAGTCATTACATAAAGCAAATAAAAGTTGTATTTTAGAAGAATGAACACTATCCCTGATATTTATGTGATATCTCTATACACATATGGCATAGCATACATATGCTGATGCACTGGATACCTACACTGCACACTATGACACTCTAAAGGTACTTTAGGGGTACATAAGTACAAACATTTGTACACCAGGACACTAAGTAGATTTGGCCATGCAGAATACTATGTGACTCCAGTTTCTTGGGCAGTTGTGCACGTTAGCACCACTTGAAATAATTACATCAAAATCGCTTCCAGGAGACAAACGAGTTGCCAAGAAAAGTCTTTATTGAACAGTGCCTGATCATCTTGGGGAAATATTATAGAAATGACAGCTGAAAAACTGGAAAATATTGAAGCCTGACCCCCTTTAAAACAGGAGAGGACAATGATGAACTGTGGCAGATATATTTGGGCAGAAAACTCAGCTCACCAAAGAGAAATGGGAGCACAAGACCTAGCATGACAAATTATAATAACACCATACTAAATGAAAATCTTTAAATCTTTTACTAAACAAGACTTTAGTAAAATTGTTTTGATCTTTAATTTTAATTCTTTTTTTTTAATATTTTGATAAAGGAAAACAACCTATTTTAACTAGAGAGTCCTCCCATGGGAAAGTTAAAGAATCTGCCCAAACAAAATAATGTTTTTATGTCCTCCATTCAGTCACAGATAAGATGAACTGTGGGTTCATGCCTTGTACTGCTATTTCACCAACTTCAATAAAACTTCAGAGGGTGCAAGTCAATGCCAAGTTTGGCCCAGCACTTCTAAAAATGGAATGGCTGCTGCAAAGTCATCTAACCAGAGCAGACAGCAGTGACTAAGACTGGCAGCTTTATAACTGATGTCATTCTTAACAGTGAAATGCTTAGCCCAAGATAACATTCTAAAAATACAGGCTAGATTATCAGTCTGTGCATGTGCCATAGATATTTTCCTGCCTTCAACGTGAGTGCAAACGTCACAGCACAGAGGAATAAACAGCTGTGCACGTACCTTGCTGAGTTGTTCCTGTGTCTTGATCGGTTTCATCTGAACAGCAAACCTAAACAAATCATTCATTTTTTAATTAGAAAAGTGCTTTATCTGAAAAGAGCCTGCATTTTACTTCAGCTTGTATCCCTCAACATATAATATCCTATACAACTCAAACTGTATCCTGAGTTCTCCGTATGAAAATAGCAAGGCTTCTTTTTATATGTCCTAGGAAACGTTTGTCCAGATATTTCTGCATGCATCTTCAAAACGTGTAAGACCAGTGCCTTCTTTAAATCCCTCATTAAATCTTACATATGCCAGAGTACTGTATTCACAAGTGATTAATGTTTTCCCTTAACGTTGTTCTTGCAGCATTTATATCTCATAAAGTCTTGACCTTTAAGGGCAAGGTGCATATTATTGTAACATCTTGGGTTTTTCACAGCTGTAAATCACACATAGTAAACAACCACCTGCTGCTGCTCACAATACACTTTGAGTTCAACACAAGTTCGCTGGTCACAGGAATGAGACTATTTCTCTCTCTTCAATGAGCTGACCCATCCCAAAATTGTAATTCATCCCATTCACAGTCATCTGCCCCTGTAACATGGCTTGGGAACAAAAACAGAGGGTGTACCAAGCAGTTTTTCAGGAAGGCAGGAAGAATGTCACAAAGAATGTGTGGGAGCCTAGGGAAGTGGGATGGAGTGACAGCTGATGAGATGGGCTAGAGCAAACGCTGAGATGGGGTGGAGTGACAGCTGATGATTCAGCTCCTTCATGTGGTGTCTTCACAAGTTGTGCCAATGGGTAGTGATGGCAGCCTTGTTGTCTTACCACTGCCAGCTTCAAGGCCAAAGAAACATGCAACGGTCAAAAATGATTTAGCATGGCCATCCCAGGTTCCCCTTGCTGGGCCCGACCACGTCTCCCTGGCTGGGGTGGTGAGACAGGCCTGGGGTGCCAGGCCCTGCCCTGATGTCCCCTGCCCTCAAGGAGTCCTTGGCTCACACAGTACCCTGACACAGCTTCAGCATTGTGGAGAGTGTTTAATGAATTACCACCTAACTCATAAAATCTCTTGTTAAAGGAACTGAACCTGTGGGTGGGAGTAGGGTGATATGACAATCTATTAACAGTATTCTATCCTGTATCTCCTGTCCATTAAATAATTCTTACCTGCTGTTATCTTCAAAGACAACAATTTTGAATCTAGCGTACAAATAAAATAACCAAATGAAATCAAGCTGGGATGTCCCTCAGCCTCTTCACCCTCTCACGGCTCCCTTCCCTGCCCAGGGGTTCTCCTGGCTGCTCCCCTGGGAACCACAGCATGGCCAAGTGCCGCCTCTTCCACTCCCACATTTTCCATCTCCTTTACTCAAAGTTACAACTGAGCTTTAAAAAAACCTGCTCGCCCATGCAATGACACTATTGAGCTCTTTCAGAGATACATTTTCATGAGCTGCTCTTTCCTTACAAGAATCTGAGGTGAGAAAACAGGAATATTTATGAAGTGATAATAAAAGTGCCTGGACTTAATACATTCCAGATTGCTAGTTCAGATAATTAATAGTTGTGTTGTTTGGGGTTTTCTTATCAGGTAATGTTTAAACGTCTCAGAAACCAAGCTTGCATTTCTCTGACAGAAACATTACTGATGTTCATCCTAAATATTCTTAATTTTCTTCATGTTACTTAGAGCTGTTTCACACCAACCTACATGGACTCTGCAGGCAGAAGCAACTGCCACAACTAGTGCGTCTGACATCCTGCAGAGAGACATTAGGGACATTTCTCTAGAAACTGGATTAAATCATGACTTTGAATCATAGAATAGTTAGGGTTGGAAAGGACCTTAAGATCATCTGGTTCCAACCACCCAACCACAGGGCAGGGACACCTCACACTACACCATGTCACCCAAGGCTCTGTCCAACCTGGCCTTGAATGCCACCAGGGATGGAGCATTCACAACTTCCTTGGGCAACCCACTCCAGTGCCTCACCACTCTTTAAGAACTTCCTCCTTATATCCAGTCTAAACTTCCCTTGTTTAAGTTTGAACCCATTACCTCTTGTCCTATTGCTACAGACCCTGATAAAGAGTTTTTTAGAACTGAGATGTTTGGTTTTTACATTTTTAAAGCTTGGGTTTTGGTTTATTTTTTTTTTGTTTGTTTGGTTTGGTTTTTTTTTGTCAATCTCACTCCTGAGGTAACAAGAGAGCAAAATGGGTACCAACATAGTACATTTGTTTTTACTAAGTGATGCTAATGGTGTGTTTCAAGTGAAAATTGTGATGCATAAATTGAAGCATACTGCACCAACATCTCGCATATAAACCCATAAATAAGAAAAAAAAATAGTCCACTGACATTTCCACCAAGCAAGGTTCAAATGGAACTCAGTACATTTTTTTTGGTCTCATTCTTTGCCCATAAAATCGCAAGTTCACTGGTTCACTGTTTACAAAAGCTGATGCTGGGTGACTGGTCTTCAATTCTGTTATCAATTCTGCCTTGCTTTTTAAAAGGTTGAAATTAATTTGGCACACCTTTCAGTCTTTGGAAATTGGTTTTCCAAACTTTAATTAAAAGTAGTATTTGTGGTTCAAAGAGGTGAATCTCCACTACTAAAGGCCTGCCCAAGTCCCTAGCTCAGATGATGCATAGCAATGCGAAGTCCCACTGCTTGGCATTACCTCTCTTTAAAGAAGGCTCTCTACACACATACTACATAGCATGCTGTCATGGGTCACCACTAATTCTTATTGTCATTTTTTGGTGCTTTTTCTTTTAACATAATGTCTAGTCAAATAATGAGGGCTGCAGGGTTTCTATAGCATGAAAGTATAAACATGCAAAAGTACATGGCAGTGTTTGAAAGTGGAAAGCATTGGGGAAGAATGGTAGGGCCCAACCTGGCGCAGCCTACTAGGAGCAGTCCCTGGAGTAAAGTATATCTACAAGAGCATTCAGGTTCATTGCAGGGGGAACTAGCTGACTGGATTAAAAAGAAAGTCTAAGACTAAATCAGTATTTGCTCAGCTGGAAAGAAAAATAGCTGACAAATATACATGCACTTTTTATGGGTACAGATCTATTAGGTCAAGTGTCTTGGCCTGATCATCGTCCAGATTTCTGGGTTGGGTTTTTCTGTTTGTTTTCATGTTTTTGTCTTTTCTTCTTCTTGTTAACAGATTTTTTTTTTTGCTTTTGCTAACACAGTTACCTGAGAAATAACAACTCCTAATGTTAAGATAGTCATGTAAAGATAGAGACTTCAGGATCATGTCTGTGTTCTTTTCTGGTATGCTACAATTTCCTGTAAAATTATTTTTCTACTTAATTTATATCGATGCAACCTAATTATACAATTACAAATGGCACTGATTCTGTTAGTTATCTAGAATGCAATGGCTTGGCCAGGCTGGATTCATGATTGTGCTTAGTCTCTCACAGCTGTGCTGTATGTGACACTAAAAATACGGTTTAAGAATAAGTAGGCACTAGTAGGCAGGACTGCATTTTATTCACAATCACTGAAAATCAATGGGAATAAGGTCATAGGTTACCAGCGGCCTTTGCTAACTCATGTGATGCTTGACCTATTCATAATTAATCTCTAAAAAGGGACAAAGTGGCAAAATTTGACAAGGATAAAGTTAGTGACAGTAGTAAGACTACTAGCAAACTGTGAAGAACTGCAGAAAGACATATAAGACTGATTAGGAAATAAAATGGCAGATGCAATTCAGCAAAGATAAATAAAAATTGTATACATGGAGATAAACAACCGTACTTTCACCTGTGAACCAACAGCCTCTCAGCTTATCATTACTGCTCAAGAGTGAGATCCTGTGGTTACAACAGATAATGCCATGAAGACAGTTCAGTGCTCAGCTCAAATTTAAAAACTCAAATGAGGAACTACTAGGAAAGAAATAAAGAACAAGAAAGTAAACAAACAGGCCAGTACTTAACTGCATGCCTAATGTTGTGCGCTGTTTTTGTTCTGCTCTCAGAAAATAATACATAAGACTCAGAAAAGTTTCAAAGGACAATAAATACAGAAGCTTAACTAATGCATTTCAGTTTAGAAGAGGAAATTTAAACGTGAATGTTATGTATGTGCAGATCCATGACTGGCACAAGCATGGCAGGTAAAAGCTTATTGTGCAGGGAACATTAAGCTAAGCTAGTGCAAATCAGGTTCAAAATAAACAAGTAACAGCAATTCTTTAGGAAACACACCAATTGATGAAGGTGACTGTTATTCAGGAAGCATATATGGCCGAAGGGAAACTGGACAAGTACTGGAAAAAGAATCACGGGGGACTACTAAATAGACAAACCATATGATATGCAGGAAAGCCTGGAATAGAAGACACTTGGAAGCTAGGAGAACACAGAAGGAAAAGAACCAAATGTGCTTGCATTGTTCTTCTCCTTCCTAGGCAGTGCTTTTGACTAAAAGAGAGGCTATTGTGGTAGAAAAACTTTTGGTTGAGACCTGTATAGCTGTTCCTATGTTTATCTTTTCAAGAGTTCCAAGAGCATGTAAGTATGGAGCCCAGAGGAAAAGCACGTGCTATTTGCTCAGCTTCTTAGTTGAACATTGTAGAAGGCAGTGTGTGTTACAAATACAGCCAAGACTTCTGAGCCATCAATGCTCACGTTCACATAGTTGGGATTCCAACAAAGTGATACTTATTTTAGGGCAGAGAAACATTTCCAGTATGAAACTCCTTGCTACAGGGATTTTCTTTTCTTACCAGAAGGGCACATTTGCTTTAGTTTACAGAAAACTTTCAGAGTCTAGGTTTCACAAGTGATAACTCACAGGCTTAGACACAACTCCCCAAACCAGCAAGAAAGCTCCCCGGTCTTTTCTTCATTTTTGACATGCAGCACTGAGTTTAGATAAAATTAAGTGTACGAGCTAACTGATAATTTCTGTTGATCTGACCTGGCATTTTCATGATGTTTTAATGACTTCTAAGATTCCCTAGGATAAATTTCACTGTTTATATCTCTTCATATAAGAGATACCTCAGCATTTTCAAAAACCATTACACCCAATATTCTAAATCTGAAGTATTATAAATCTGAAGTTACACCACCAATGTACAAAGGATTTTTACGTGGAATCATTTTGCTCACTCATGAACACTTGTTCCCAGCTTGGTTATAGAATCCTTTTGGCTGGAAAAGGCCTTGAACATTATCAAGTCCAACTGTTAACCCAGCACTGCCAAGTCCACACTAAACCATGTCCCAGAGTTCCACAGCTACACATCTTTTACGTACTTCCAGGAATGGTGACTCCACCACTTCACAGAAGTTTTCACATCATCTTCCTGGAATGATTTTTTGGCCAGCCTAACTGGAAACAATAGTAAATGATTCAGCGTAACATAACTATTTTTCTGTTCTCTCTGCCAGCAACTTAAGTATTTAGCCCCTTCAATCACTTTTTGTAGAACTATGACCTCGACTGCATACAATGTAAACTCTTAAAGTAGAAAGAGCTTCTTTTTCTCTGCACAAATATAATGTTTGGATTAACTAAGATTCCAGGTTCATTTCCAAATGTGCTCCAAACTATTAACCTTGGAGGTTAAGTCCCATTAACGCTACATCTTGGAACCATGCTAGCAAAAACAAAACAAAAAATTAAAAAAAGCGCTTAAATAGCAGCAGATGAAGAATCAACAAAAAAACCATTTTCTTATGAAGCAGAACTCTTGGATATTTACTGGTAAGTAACACAGTAAAACAGTTTACTGTATAACAGTTACTTATAAACATTTGTTTCGGCATCAGTGAAGATTCCTAGTGCTGAATGAGAAGACATTCTTATACCAAATGACTGTTGAAGACTCCCTGGTTCCCACCAACCAAATCTGATGCTTCTTATGTATGCTTTGACTAGGCAGTAGCAATATGGCTGTAATATTTTTGGGTCTAGTAGCCAGAATAAGTGTAACAAATGTATCATCTGAACTCCATAAAATATTCCATGTAATCTAGCATTAAATTTGCATACATTTCTGCATGGATAACTGAAGTTCCAAGATAAAAACAAGCAAATAAACAAACAAACAAAACAGCCCCAAAAGAAACCCCCACAACACTTTCCCCAGCAATCTAAATCAAAAGGACCATTCGTTACCTACATTATCAAAAGTGCTTTATTCCTTACTTTCAGGTTAAGACTTAAGTCACTACCCTCATTCTAATTAAAATAAAGTCAGGATGGGCTTCATAAAATGAAACTAAAATTGTATATGCAGTTTTTCCTCTATGCAAGAGATAAAACCCAGGATATATTAGCACTTCTAAAGGATGCATTAACAAGCTATACTCATTATGCAATATTTGTTGCTACACACTAGGAAGTTCAGCAAATGTACAACCAATTGCACTGTATTCACAAATATCACAAAAATAGCAAGCAATGAGATTACACATGAACTTATCTCATTAAAAAAACTTTTCAAAGTTATACTATACATACATGCTTTTCAAGAAGCTAACAAATATTCTGAAACCTTCTCACACACACACTTATTCCACTCATTTCCTAAATAGTAACGATCTTCAAAGCCTCTGTTAACTTTGACCTGGTATTCTTCTCATGCAGAAATCTCCTCCCATGTCAGCCTGTCATATTTTCAGCGACCTAGAATGAGAAAAAACATTTATTACAAATCACCAAAAATAGGCACCATGTAGATCAAATTTACTCCATTCTTGTGACTATTTTAATTTTACTAGAGAACTTAAGTCTAAAAATAAGCTGAAAATTATAAGATGTGTAGCCTTGTTCTCTAATGAATACTTCTTTCATTTCTAAAAAAATACAATATAAAAAAATGCTGTTGACTGCTTAGCATTTACTGACATAGCCATTACTATTTACTTGTGTTAAACTGTATATCCTGTATGTGAGCAGCTTGTAATCCTGCACATTT